AAATGCCTTAATTTATTTTTATTTGTTTTATCTCCACATTTGATCAAATATACTCAACATAAATAATCACAATCACTAATATAGTTACCAACGATTATAGACCTGTTGCCCTGACAACCCACATAATGAAGGTCCTGGAGAGACTCCTGCTGGTCCACCTCAGTCAGCAGACAAGCACATACCAAGACCCCCTGATAGGTGCTTGTCTGCTTGGAGACGCCATCATACACCTGCTTCAACAAACCCACTGTCATCTGCGCTGTGAGGACCATGTTCTTTGATTTTTCTAGAACATTTAACACAATTCAGCCTGATCTACTTTATCAAACTCCAGAAGACACAGGTGGAGGCCTCAACAATCACATTCGTTGAATTACAATAGACTCTGCAGCTGGTGGGTGAGTCAGAAATGGACAAGAGACTGAGTACAGAGAGCTGGTGGACTGCTTTATGTCATGGTGTAAACAATCATTTCATCTTAAATGTAAACAAAACAATGACCCGTCTATAATAAGGGACAGAGCAGACTGAACTTCCTGAGGGTGTTAAGATCCTTCAAGGTTTGGAGCAAGATGCTGCAGATCTTCTATCAGTCTGTTGTTGAGAGCATCATCTCTGCTGCTGTCATCTGTTGGAGCAGCAGCATCAGAGTCAGAGACCTAAAAAGGCTCAACAGCCTGATAAAGAAGGCTGGTTCTGTTCTGGTTCTGTTCTGAGCACGACTATGGAACCTCTGGAGATGATGATGATGCAAAGAAGGATTCTTCATAAAATCAAGAAAATTATGGACAACCCTGATCATCCTCTACATGAAACTGTCTTGGGCAAACAGAGTGTTTTCAGTCAGGAGGTTCTTCAGATTTGCCACTGCACGAGATCTTTCCTGCCAACAACCACCACTATCTACAGCAGCTCTTTACTTAAATGAGTTACACCAATATTTAATTTCACTTTGGGATCAGTAAATTATTGTTCAATTGAATTTGAATTGAAGTGCAGCGATAACAAAAGTGCTCATTTCAAAGGTATTTATCAGGGTAGAAATTTGCAAACTATTTTCATCCTTGCAGTCCTTCATAGAGATCACCTGGATAAGTGGGCATAAATACCTGTGAGCCGCATCCGGATCTGCTTTTCGATGAGAGCATTTGGCTTTTAGAGGAGCAGATCTCAGGGCAGGAGACGAACTTAAAGGGCTGTCTGAGTCCAAACGCGGTGCATCAGGTTTAGTTCTGACAAAAGACAAAGCTCTGAATGAAAGCCCATTTGACCCTAACAAATGCTGCCTTTTAAAACCAGAACACCGACTCACTTTCTGAGGATGATTACTGCACGTCTCTCCTTGATGTCCTGAGGCCTGATGCAATGAGTGATGTCATCAGCAGCATAGCCACTGCAAATGAAAGAAAAACATTTTTGTTACCACGAAATCTGCTCTGAACAACAACTGTCGCGGAAAAGTATACATATTTTCCATATTGTCACATTGCAATCGCAAACGTCATTGTATTTTAGTAAGATTAAAAATCCAAAGAAGAAAATATGAATCTAATGAATTTGATTATTAAACAATACACAATAACCACAGACTGATGGAATGTCTCTTGTAGCTTTTTTCATAGAGACTGAAAGTTCTGTAGCCTCCAAAAAAACATCTATTTTATGCAGTTAAAAGTTAGTTTGGTATAGGGTGGAGCTAATGAGCAAACAAAGATCAAGGTAAGGACAAACATGACACATATATATATAAAAAACTGAAAAAAGGCCTGATGCTACGTTGTGAAAAATAAAAAGACTAATGGGATTAAATTGTCCATCCAAAAGAAACTATGAATGTTGTGAATTTATAGACCAAAATGTCTTCTCTACTGAGAAGAAAACATTTGTTTAAAAATCATGATATTTCTAAAGAAAATAAGAACCAACAAATGTTCTATTCCGCTCCCAAAAGAAATTAAGACATTAATTCCATAATTATGTATGAAGTTTTCCCTGTACTGACTTTTTGCAAAAGAAATTCAACACCTAAAATCTCAATGAAATATATAATCTGGGGTTCTCACTAAGGGAACAAAAATGAAAAAAAAAAAAAAAAAAAAAGGGAAAAAAATACTTTTGCCAGACACAATACATGAAGACATCTGATAAATGAGGTGAGCATGCTCACCTCAGTACTGTGACGCTCCCTCTCCTCACAGGCAGGACAAACACCGGCTCTGACACCCGGATGGGTTTGAATTGGAACCGACAACCAAAGCAGAGCGCGCTGTCACTGAAGAAGGACACAGAGACAATGGGCCGTGCAAAGATGTGCAGGGGATCCACGTGGGACACGATGCATCCACCTGGCTGATAATCATTGATGACCGCACTGTTGACGAAACCCTCGGGGATCACCCCGTTGGACACCAGCCGGTTGATCACCAGCTCATGAACCCAGCTAGGGATTTCGTCTACCTCTCCTTTGCGGTACAGCCGCTCTTGACCCGGTCCGCGCCTCTCCAGCTGGGCTCCGTACGTGTACCCCTCGCCAAAGAAGTACTTGTTCCGGAGGGGCGCTCTATCCACCGTGTGCTCCCGATACAGTCCAGCCTCTGCTTTGGCCACTACTTCATCGATCCTCTCCTCGATGCGGGCGCACTCCTCTGGGGTGAATATGCTCAGCTGTACGACGCTACTCCTGACCCGGCGGGCTTCTTGCTCCCGGAGGTCAGAACTATCGTCGCTGTGTTCGTATTCATCGTCATCCGACTCTCGATACTTCCGCTTTCGACCCTTCCCGCTGCCGTTGCTCGCTCGGTATTTGTTCCCGTAGTCGTCCCGGTGCGGAGTCATAGACTTTAGCTTCTCTCTTAGGTCAGAGAATCCGCTGGCTGCCATGTCGGCCAAAATAATATGACCGCCGCGTTGCAAAAAATAAAGGTTCCTAATTACAAACACACACACAAAAAACTAGCCTCAATGCTGCATTTCAAAACAAATTTACAACAGTTTGTTTGTTATGGACAAACTAGACCTGAATAAAATTACAAGAGTCAATTAACTCGCATAGCAACAACAAGCGCACAAAAGTAGCTCATGTTAGCTATGGCTCCTAGCTCAGTCTTTGTTTTGAAGCGTTACTCTTTTGTAACTATTCTTTTACATTTCATATATCCCGTATTTCAGAAACGAACAAAGAAGTTAGATACTGCGTCATCACCACTCTGCGTCCAGCTAAGGCAGAGAAGAGGCTAACGCTGTTAGCTGATAGCTTGTTAGCCCGGCTAGCCTGGCTTGACCACTCCGTTGCCGCCTGGAAATACTGACAAAACACGCAGCGACATGTCACCACCAAAATTCCCAATCTGGATATTTTTGAGCTTCCTCCAATGATGCTTGAAATAAGTAGAGCCAGAAACTATATTGTTAAATGGGCATAAAGCTAAATTCGCCTTCTCAGTCAGTCTCCAAGTACAAGCCTGAAAATAAACTCGTGTAACCTGCGGAGGGTTTGCGCATGCTCATTGTAGATTTGTGGGAGGGTCTCTCTGGGTTCCAAATTCAATGTTGCTAATTTTGTCCCGCTTACCTTCTAACTAGCCACCAGTAGTTAACTTGGAAAATAGTTCTTTTGTTTCTGGTTTATTGATTACATGAATGTTTCTAAAAAATTTTTTGAAAAGGCTGTTATGCTAAAAAACGTCTTCAGGGTTAAGCGCATTTTCATGAATATGTGAAATATTCAAATAGAGTTCTTAGTTCTTTTATGTCCATTTTTAGAATAAGTGCAAAAGTTCAGAATTAAGTTAAGTCAGATATTTCTGGAGTGGTTGCTGGTCCAGACTGAAATATGGAAATTTCTCAAAATTATTTATACCCCTGGTAGATTTAGCTTTGAAGTTATCTTTTAATTTTACCAAAATATTTCCTCGAGGATTTAAAATGGCCTTTTGCAATGGTACAAGCCAGAGTCCCTAGTTTATTTTCAAAGAGAGTTTTGTAGAAATAGCCTTCCATGCTCAAAGAACTGGGAATCATTACAAAAATAAATCACCACATAGCAGCAGAATGGATGACCAATGGAATAATAGGATGGATGGATGGCTGATTGATGAATCCATATTCAACATCTAAAAGTTCCATCAGTCCATCCAGACTTGGTTTATTTATTTAATTATTCAGTAAGTACAGGAACAGCTTAGGGATTTCAGTTTACAATAGTTTACAGATAGATGTACAAAGCAAATAGAACATTGAGATTTTCAATATCTCCCCCAGCCTTTTTGTGTTATTTCAAAAAAAAAAAAAAAAAGCCCAGCAGGCTCCAACGAAGACAGTAACCATGTTAAAAATGTGATTTGCTCTTTCACTACTTACAGATTATCATCCTGGGAGAGGTGGCTACAGTGTCACAATTTCCATCTTGAAGAGGCTGTCAAAGAAACAAGGCTTCTTTTCTGTGTTTTATGAAATTCAGTTCACAATATAACTGTACAGGGCGAATGGGCTGTATCCTGATGAAAAAGCAAAATATCACCAAAATATTTTTAAAATTCCAATACAGAATCAACAAGAATCTTTTTTGAATCTTTTTTACTCAATGTTTTAGCTACAACCCTACAAATATCTCTCAGATTAATCTGCTCCATTATCTTGGAAAACATATGTAAAGTCTTTGATCTTTTATGCACATTTAGCTATAAGATTAAAAAAACAAATTGTAAAATTTTATTGCACTAGACTGTAGAAGCAAATGTGTTCTTTCTTCAAGCTGCAACAAAGTGAGGCATTGCCATAGATCATCCAAAAATTTAAACTCCTAAGTGTCACAGCAGTAACTGAATCTTGCATAACAGCTATGAGCTCAACACTGTTAATACAAGTTTTGCATGTAAAACAGCAGATCTACATCATAGTAAATAATATTAGAAAAGTGGCAATAAAATTTACATTTCTATAAAAAATGTAAATAAAGATATAGCAAAAACATTCATTAGATTTAATGAGCAAATCAGTGGGTCTATTCATGCTTTTATTTTTTTTTCTGAAAAAATATTTGTTTTACAAAATATATCAACTCTTCTGTTTACAAATCATTACCAATCATACAAATAACATAAAAGCATAAAACTGATTAACTATAAAACATTTAAAGATGCCAAAGATATCTGTTGAAAACACAACAGTGAGTGAAGCTATAAATTCTCACAAAGAATAAGATGGAGGATCCAAATCTATCACTCAGCTGTGTTTTTCTGTAACTTCAGAGAAATAATCCAGTAAAACCTGGAATGACTTCCTGATATTTCCCATGTCACTGTGAAAACTACACAACAAACCACTGAAGGAGTGCGAAGGTAGCTACGTGTACATGTGCAGAAACATTTGTGCATACTATGAAACATGTGCACACATCACAGCATGGTGATTTCGCTGGGTGGCAGAGTGAGCCTCTTTTCTCTCACAGACATCATATTTTCAACCTGCATGGCAATAACTCGACACAGCTCCAGGCCCTGTGGAGAAAACCAGTCAGCTTTACAGCACTAAGTATCAAACACCAGAATTTACCCAATCCGCTGTCTGCTACCACACCTGCTCCAGCTGCAGCTGAATGACCCGCTGTGTGTTCATGTCCCCCACAGTTAGGTCCACATACGGGTAGCTGGTTCCAGTACTGTGCCTCTGGGTGCGACTGCCCTGCACCTCCACAAGGGGGACGGCTGCCATCAGTTCCTGCAGAACAGACGTCAGACTTTGCTCTGACAAGAGAGAACAACTTTTCTCCCAGGCTCATGCTAATGATGCCATGAGCCGATCACACAGTGATAAATGTGTGTGTGGTTCTTACATGTGTGTTTTTGTGCAGAAAGTGGAGACCACGTGGGTTAACAGCTAGAATGCAAGGAGCATAGAAGGTGGTGGAGCTGCTGCTGTGGATGTAGAAGAATGAGGAACCAAACATGGGGAACGCACTGATCAGGCCTGCATGCACAGACAGAATGCAACAAAAGGGAACAAAATCATTATTATTATCTTACATACTTTATAATTAAAGTTGATGAAGATTTTGTTTGTCTGAACCACTGTAAGGCCACAAGGCTGGTTTTACCAACTTTTATCCGTGTAGGTTCAATTGATGTATATAAAAAAAACTTCCACGAGACTCCGGTGTAAAAAGAAACTTTGTTCAGGAGCAATCAGGCCTAAGATATGCTCATCAATAAACAAACTACTGTAGTAAAACCATGTGGCTCTGTCCTCCTCTGCTGCGCCGCCTTCCCTCTACTGAGATTATCCTTTACTTTTTTTCCAGTCCTCCAGGGTTGCCACAATGTGACCTTTTCAACAGTAACACTATCCTTTAAAGCAATTTTATTCACAGGATTACTTTACCAAGTCAACACAAACACAATAAAACTATTTTTAGTTAAATTTTAGCCAAACATTTACTTAATAATGTCAAATAACTAATAAAACAAAATAAGTTTAAACACAAAATAAATACTGATTTTAAGTTTGTATTTGAGTTTTTCTCTACAGGCCTGCTGTGGTTAGTAAAACTGAACTCAGCTTTCCAAAAAAAAAAAATGTGTTTAGTCATGTACAACTTATAAACATTTCATATTTAAGCTATGTGAAAACATTATGGTTTTATTTATGTTTTTGCATTTTCTTCCTTTGAGAAGGGATCTTACCGAGAAACTGTGCCCTAGCCTGATGTGGACTCAGAGGCTGCACTTGCTGCATGTGCTGCGTTGCCATGGTAACCCACTGCTGTGGGGGCTGCTTTTTGAAGAGAGGTGCAGCAATGTACTCTGATAGCTCGTGTCTGGAAGACAGAGGACAAGAACAACAACGTCAGATAAACAGAAGCTGCCTCGCTCTGTGGCTTCTGACATTTCTCAAAAACTGTTTTATACAACTCAATGAGCTGCTCTGTGTTTTGCTCTGTGACAGGCAGTGATAACTGCAAAAAATATATAGCTTTTTCATAGTTGACAGTGCGTAAAGAAAAAAAGACATCCAGTTGAAGCACAACAGCTCAGCCCATTTAGGCTACTGAACTCCTCCAAGTACAGTAAAGTCAGAATCTTTCACTTTAATTTATTCACAAACAAACAAGAAACTTCAATATTTCAGAGACTGAAAAAGACTTTAGAAAGGGACTAAGTCCATAACCAAAAAGTTAAATAAAATACTAAACATTTAAAAAGTACTTTTGGGATGTTTGGAAATGAGCGTTAATAACTCTTGTTGCTCACATGCTGGGAGTATAGATGTTGTCCTTGGCTCTATGCTGCAAAGCAGCCAGCTTTGATATTTGGTGGAACTGTTGATCGCTCACTTTTCCATGTGAGAGAACATTTAGCAGGCCTTTCTGGTAGTCTGGAAGGATCTGAAAAATATCCACAAAACCTGAGTTACACACATAACAACAAATAACAAAATATGTGTGTGGAGTGAGAGGAAATCTTTTTTAGTACCTGGTTATACTGCATGGCCACACTCAGCTCATTCTCGAACCTGAGCGACTGAGTCCAGACAACTCGCCGGAACCACAGACTGTAGCCTGAGTCGACTGCCTCTGCCTCTGTGGCAACGTCCAGGATGTACTCGTTCTTGTTCAGAGGTCGAACATTCTGACCTGAGCTCACCCAGTTACACAGAGATTGGTTTGTTATTTCATGTATTTTTGCATATTTACTGCAGTAGGAATTACTCAATTTCTCAAAAACCAGCAGAGCCACAAGACTGAGCTGTCCCCAACAAAACAGTGTCATCCATCTGTGGCATCATGGAGTAATCCAGAATTTCAGCATGATAGGTTGTTATAGAAATAAATATTACATACTAAAACCTTAGAAAAAATTAGAACAGAAAACAATGCAAGTTACGAACAAGTAGCTTTGTGCATGTCTTATATATATTCTATATCATGAATTATATGAAGATTCATCATCATACAAAAAGTTTGCATAACAATATTTCAGATTAATTCATTTTTATTAATACGTGCTCCATTCTTGTCGGAGATGCAGTGGGCAGGTCTGTATGGTGGAGACCTGGAGGGAATGAGATTATTTTCTAGGAATTTTTTTCCTGTATTTCATTATTAGTTTTGGTTTATGTTGTATAAATGTAACATATGTCTGACTTCTTTGTATCTACAGGCTCTCATCTATGTATAAAAGAAAAAAATTCAATAAAAAGACAGAGATAAATAAAGATTTTCAGTGGTATATATACAATTTATTTCATTTTCCCTTTGGGATCAATAACATATCTTTGAATTTATATGAATTTGAATTGTAAAGCACAGGTGTACTTCAAAATCAACCTCGGCATAAATGTAAATAAATTCATATATTATTTTAAGTGTAGTGACATAAAAACATGCCACTTCTATTATTCAATCATAAGTTTTGTAAATTTTTAAGTGATAGTTCACTACATGGAAAGACCATGGAAAGTTTATTGAGTTGCTGAATTTAAATGGGTTTAAACTGCATCTATGTTTTGCTGGAACTGTTAGATTAAAAGTGAAATGATGCAGTTTCTTTTATTATTAAAACTTTTGTATTTTCTTTGTACAAACTTCACAGCATTTCAGTTTATAAACATTTAGTTGTTCTCACAAGCATCTTAGCAAACTGAAATAATACAATAATATCAAAAAATACATAATAGTGATGCTTCTTCTGCAAATTAAAGCTTATTATTAACTCTCAGACTTCCTGAAACTCCATTACAATTTTCATTTGTTCTTTTTCCACTTATTTTTAATTCACTATCTGGATATTTAAAGAGGACTACTTATGACAGATGGATTCAGTCATAAGGTTTAGAAATAGTTCATTACATACAATTGAGCCCAAAATTATTCATAAAAATGGGAAAATGATTAAGTAATCTTCTAACTTTACCAACACACTTCTTCTGACTATTAACATTTCGCAATGTCCTAGCCAGAGTCCTGCCTTAATCTGACATGTAATCTTTGGATGGTAATCTTTGGATGGCAAAGAGGCCTTCCGTCCTCAAAGACTTGAAGCTCATCCCCAAAGAAAAATCCTTTCACTGGAAACATGCCAACAGCTGTAGAAGGTTTCTAATTTCTGCATTACATATAAATATGTTTGCTCTTTTTTAGGTGGATGTAAATCATTTAACATGACATTTTAAAATTAAATTTAAAAAACATACAATTATTTTTATCTCACATTACATTGATCTGTTGAGAAATTCTGTCTCGTTTCCTTTCAGGCACTTCTGTAACATTTTAAATCAAAATCTGACTGTGCATACCTCTGTTGGTGACTAAAAATATGGCATATTCTTCAATGGCTTCTAGTGTGTGTAATCCCATTTCATAGCATAACTCTTCTATCACCTCCAAGGCAACCTGAAAAACAGATACATCAGTCAATCCCAGCCCGCCCACACTAATGCACCACACTGATCATCACCTGCTGAGAACTTACAGTACAAGTTTTGATTTTCACGTGGCGTTCAATGCCTCCAGGGAAGAGAAACAGCTGACGTTTTGAACTGCGTCCCGCCTGAGGAAACACAAACGATCACATGATATATGTGGTAGATATGCTAAAAATGACTCACTTGTTAGGACTGCAGAATCATAAGGTCATAAAAAAATGGTGCTCAAGTGTATGTATAATGAAGAAAAAAAGAAACTAAGTCTTCAGGAAGACCAAATTTTACTTTTCTTTTTCCTTCTCTTCACTTATCTTCATATTCCTTTGGTCATAATAAACTTTAAAAACAGCTTCCAAACCCATATTTAGGCAAAATCAAAATAACTAATTTGTTTTTACCAAGTGCAACTGAAGAAAACTGTTGATTTATTTGGAAATATTGTCCATTAAAGAGCATTCCATGCCATAAATGAGTTTGCACAAAATTCACACTAACTGTCCTTTCAAGCCGAAGAAGAAATCCTATCAAGCCTGGCTAGCTTGTAGAGCCACACTGTTTGCTTCTGTGAGGTCATGAATGAGTTCATGGCCTTGCCAAATGAGTTCAGCGAGGCCATGCAGAAGAACTTTTGGTTGACATTAAAGCAATTCTTTCAAACCGTCCGACACCTCTGAAGCAGTACTTTGCCATCACTGTTTAGGGGGGTGGAGAGTTACTGACCTTGATGGAGGATCTTGTCATTTAGTGGAAAGAGACTTGGAAGATTTTCTCAATCCCCTCCATTGCACCATTGGGACTCATTCAGCACTCAGGCTGAAGTTTCAAAGGCGGTCAAAAATCTAGATGGTGGCAGAGTCTCAGGGATGGATGGGATTTGCCCCAAGGGCCTCAGGTCTCTGAATGTTGTGGGGCTGTCATGACTGACATACCTCTTTAACATGCTGTAGTGGTTGTGTAACAGTCCACATGTGTGTTGTTGCCCAAGAAAAGGCTTTCAACACAGCTGTGGAGTGTCCTCCAGGCATACGGAGTCCAGTGCCCTTTATTCCCGAACTTAAAAAAAGACTAGTCTGAAGAAAGTACACATTTAGAAACTTTGCTATATTTATCTGTCAATTCTTCCTTTTACAACACATAACTTGGATTAATTAAATAAAAAAAGAAAAAAAATATTTCATTGGTTATATACTAAGCCATTAAAAACTAATTTCCACTAGTAATAAATAGTAATACGCAATTGTGTTTATATGTAGATGGTAAAAGTGGATGTATTAGAATACTCCATAATTCAGATCTGTCCTTTTGACTCTTACTTGATTCTGCATTTTGTGTATAAAATAATATTATTCTCTATCTATCTTATCCCTAATAAGGATTAAAATGTTTTTGGCCTAAAAGCAGATAAATTAATGGAGGCACCAACCATCATAGCTTTCAGCTCCATGCCGCTGGGTGGAACAATCCGACCGCCGTACACAAACGTCTTCTTCAGATTTTGTTCACATGCTTTAGCTATGCCTGAAAAAAGCGCAGTACATATTTCACACTGATTGCAACATTTGCAGCATACTCCCACTTGATATTAGTGTGTGTGTTTTTTTTTTCTTACCTTGATATGGTGCTCCTGCACTGCGAGAAGCCTGCTGCAGGTATTTTAACAGGTAAGGTTTGAGGACTTCAGAGCAGCGATGGTAGGCAGCCAGGATGTACAGCAGCCTCCAGCCACGTTGGCAACTATCGCTGCAAAGCACAAGCGAGCACAGAGGTGCTCAGGATCACAGAGGTAATCACCAAAGAGCCATGCACTGAGGGTTTGTGTGTGGCCAGCCGACTTACGGTTTGGAGCTGGTGTTGGCAGTAAGTTGTTTGAGGAGCTGGCAGTAAGCTTCATCCCTCATCAAGGTGAATTCTCCAATGAGCTGAGGGGAGCAAATAAATCACAGCACACACACACAAAAAAAATAACAACAAAAAAAAACAACAAAAAACAAGAGTTTAGGTGGAGTTCCTTCCTGCAAAATAATAATATTAACCTTTGACATCTAATACAATATATCATTCTGTAGCTTAGAAATCTTAGTGTATAAGTTGAACTAGCAGAATGACTGGAACAATGTTTTTGAGGAATGCTACATACAGCAGGTAAGTAATCTGTGACACAACATAAAAAATTTAAGGGCAAATGAAAAGCATAAGGGAAACAAATTTTGGTCTATAATTAAATTCTTTCAAAGTTTTCAGTTGAGGGAATGCAGGAATAGGAGCCACACAAATGCCAGACATAACTTATTATTAGCAGCATAATTAGATGCTGCGTTTAAAAACAGGTAAGGAAAGAAAACAGAACATTATTATATGTTGCCTCATTTCCCCCAGAGATCAGTCCAATGACTGGAGTCGTCTACAAATTTGATAACACTAGTGTTCGGCTGTGTGGTCATTATGGAATAGGGTACAGCATGGGACTCAGCACAAGGCAATGTGTTTGTGAGGAACAATGAGGTCAGTACACATGTCTATGTGAATACAGAGGTTTAATGAGGACATAGTGTAGCCTTATAAACCCCCCTGACATTGTGATCCAGTGTGTTTTTCTTGTGTGTGGGAAAATAACTTTACTGCGTATATGCTGGTAATGGTTAAAATCACCAACTATGAACACTGCCCTCTAGGTGTTTGCTTTCCTGTCCTTTAATATGTTTTTATTACGTCCCAATGCTTCTGTCGGGTTTCTGCGCAGTAGAATGTAAAAAACAGTGAAAGCTGTTGTAAACTTCCTCAATGGGAATAAGGACCTGCATTTCAGCATCAAATACTCTGTGGTGTGGGAAATTGATAATGAGCATATTTACCTTAAGGAACATGTTGACCACTTCCTGTTCTGATGAACCCCTAGATGGAGAATCCCCCATGAAGCGCATAATGCCTAGAGATGTTACACCAGGACACACACACATACACAAATTAAACATCCCCTCACAATTCATACACATTTTTAGTTAACAAATGCCTGATATTAGTGTTCAAATTTAATTTTTGTAGCTAAATGTTTTATTTGTACACTTTATAATCTATCAATGCCGCTGTGGGGCATTCCCAGCTGATTTTAAGTTTAATTTATTTTCCAGTCTAGCTCTACTAATAAACACAATTGTTCATTGGAGACATATTGACAGATTTTAGTGGGTGGAAGGTTGTGGACTAGTGGATGAATATATGGGAGGCTAGATTTCTACTTTTTTTCTCTTTCCAAACCTACCCAGATGTACAAATAAAGATCTTTTTAAACAATGTGTAGAGATAATTTTTCTGATGAAATAACATTACACAAAATAAAAACTATTAAATAATAAATGTAACATATAATACATTTATGGATGTATATTTCAAATATTATTTATTTTTTTTATTTCCTTTATTTAACCAGGTAAACCCCGTTGAGATCCAGATCTCATTTTCAAGAGGGACCTGGGCAAATTTATATGAATTAATTAATGATGAAGCCAGATTGGAAGATTCTTTGACTGCTGGAGTGAAGTGGTACCTCATAAACACACACAGACAACCACATAGTGTAAAATATAATGAATTGTATCAGATAATATTTACAAAAATATATAAAGACAAATACTTGAAATTTCATCTGCATGAAATCCACACAAGTATTTTTTCTTAGCCAAGGCAACAGGTCAGTTCCTTGGCGGGAGTATGAGGATGAAAGGGATCCAGTTCAGTTCAGGATGAGAGCTGTGGTTGTAGGCTTGATCTACAGCACTGGAAGAAGTGGTGGGGATTTGACAGAGCTCCTGGTTTGGTGTAGGATTAACTTGTCAGTCTGGTCAGCTTGGCAAAAGATAGGATCAGGAAGCTGGGCAGTTACCACTTTTCAAACGCATTATTAGTTGAAGATTTTATTTTAACAAACCGACATCTGTGGCAGCTATGGGACAGCATCTCTCCTAGCCTGGTGAACCAAAGGCTGCCTTAATAAGACACTGACATAGTACTACCACCAGTCTGACTGGTCATTCAAAATGTGACTATCATCACAGTGAGGTGATGAATCACGAAAAATCAAATATGTGAGAACAAAGACATTGAATGGCATTTGTTATTGTTTGTTTTCTTTTTACATAAAATAAAATTGAGGAAATTTCAAACATTTTTAATAAAATAAAAATAAATAATTCTTTAAGAAGATAATTTTTAGGAACCTAATTTCAAACACAAAAATAAATGGTAAAGGAAAAAAAATGCTCTCAGTAAAAATAAAAAAGGTTATTCTGGAAATGGAAAAAAATTAGCCTGGTTCCATAAATATTCAAGAAACATTTAAAAGGTGCAAGTAAAAAGGTATAATATCTCAGGGTCCTCTCATTTTGACAATACTGAACCTAAATTATATAACTGGTGGATTTAATTAGAGAAGAGAAGTCAACAACTTACACAGGTAGAGATCAGCTGCCACTCGGTTCATAGCTACATCTGTGAACTCTATCAGAGACTCAGTCAGAGGGGTCTGCAAGGACAAATCAGTTGAACAAAATGTCACCTAAACATCATGGATGTTAGCATGTGATAGAAAATAAAAAGCACCTTGGAGAACTTAATCATGTCAGTAGGCTCCCTGAAATCGTTCCTTTTGCCTTTGCTCTTCATGGAATCTCTGAGGACAGACACATCGAAACAACTTTATATTTCAACAATGTTCAAAAACAATGGCACACAAAAAAAATCTGCACTAAAATTACAACTTATGGCCTTTAATATAGCTGGATATTTATTTGTTTCAAGCACTTCTAGAGAAAGGGAACTAGATCTTCTGGTCATTGTGACAAATGCATTTGATTTTCACAGTCCCAACAAACATCTTTTTTTAATGCTAATTGCATCTTTTCCCAATAAAAAGTTTGAACAGCAAGAAAAAAAGTCTCACCCGTGTCCATTTGGTGCCTGCCTGAAGTACTTCTTGGCAAACTCTATCATATCATATTTACTGTCCTGCAGAGCCCTCTCATCAGGCTCTCCATCAGGGAAGCCATCAAGTGAAACTCTCTAAAAAGAGATTAGAAGTGAGTTTGGCAGAAATAAACAAATAAACAGCATAAAGTGCGTTTGTGTCTGGGAACCTCAATCGTTTGATCTATTTCATGAGCAGCCATGGTGGAGGCCACAGCAACAGCAATGGCTGACGACACGGCGAACTGGTCAGCTCCGCCTCGAGGCTCTGCCTTTCGGTCCAGCGGCAGCGATAGGAAATCAGGAGGAGCAACAGGGTGGACACACTCTGTGGGGAATGCCCCGGAGCGGCCAAACACGGCTCCAAACTTCCAACCTGACACACAAAAGCAAAAAAGATTTACAGAGAGACACACAATTTCTTCTCCTCACTGTCTGCTTTCTACTTACTGCATGTCAGATCATTATCTGCCAATTCCACTCCTGTCTGGGGTTGTGCTGATAACCTCGCAAAAGATGATTTACTGCTGTCATGATGGACAACACTGTTCTCAGCTGTGCTCAACTCCTTGTTTTTATTTGCAAATAAGCAGCCATTATTTACTGTACCTTCAATAAGAAGTATTCATACTTCTTGTTTTTATGTTAAAACAACTAAATATTTATGTTCACTAGACTGTCTCTGTCCAATCTGACAAAGTTTGAGTTATTTTGCATAAGACAAATGGAAAAGTTTCTGGATGTATAAAGCTTATAGACACATAACCCAATAACTCATATCTGTAATTGCAGGTAAATGTGTTTCGAAAAAGCACTGAGTCAGAGGAGGTCAATGTAAAGATTTTGAAACCATACATGACCTTCTGTAAGTCTGTGGTTGGAAAATGAAAAAAATCTACAAATGTTCAAGAGGCAATATAAAGTTAGGGCTAGGGCTTTTAGTTTCCAATTCAAACCATGAGGTACCACCTACTGATGGCCTCAGCCCCTCTGGTAATAAACTAATTTTACTTTGCATAACATGAAAGATTTCTGACGCCAGGTTTCAAAAATCAAAGGAAATAAATGGAAATGATTTAATTAATCACAAATACATGTTTAAATACACTTTTACTCTGCCATCTGTCTGATGTAGGAACTGTTTAATGTCACCCTGGCTGTGTTTTCATCCAACTGTGATGTGAATTGGGAGCATATTTTTAAAATCTTGCAAAAAAGAAAATGTGAATTAGGCGTGTTTCCATCTACTGGTTTGTAAGGCTGCAGTTGTAGGCCACTCTGTGTTAATGCTTTCAGAAATTCTTTAATTTTTAATTCATTTATCTCAAGTCAAACGTATGAAGTTTCTCAGTTTGTCAGGTTTTTATATTGAAGAAGGCTTAAAGGAAGTCATTTTGTTTTAAATGTCTATAGAAATGTCTCTCTTCATTCATTTCCTATGGAAATTATGTGATGGGTCTCTTGTTCTCATCCAGCCGAGGCACCAGCGCAGAATTTATAAATTAAAATAATCAGTGCATGTGAAATTTTGAGCTTGTGCCCACGGACGTGCACACAGGAGCCAGTGATGCAACACAGGAAAAGCTTGAAATGTTCAACTTTTGCTGCTGTCTGCTGTCGCAGACAACATTCACCTTTCGCAGTCATTCGTTGCTCTCTGTGTATAGAGCCCATAATGCACTGCTGTAACCCTCCGCAGGACAGAAGCTTTTAGGTCAAAATAGTAGTTTGATTAAGCTGCGATATGTAATATTAATGTATTATAATTTTCAGATTAATCGCATGGTTTAATGTGTGAACGTTGACAGCCCTAATTAATATTCAACAAGCAGAACAGAGAATCCACATCCTGGAATCACACATCAAGCAGATACATGTAACTCACACTTAAACTATGAACATGGACATGGATTACCTATTTGTGCCTAATTAAAGGTCTCAGGGTTTGACATTGTTGTGAAGGCTGAATTCACACTCTGTAGACCCACTAGAGACTGGAATAACAAGAGAATCCTAAGTTTTTAAATTAGGGAACATCTCTTATATTGAAGTGATCACAAATTGGCAGGATTCTCTGAGCAAAGCGGGAAGTGCTTATTCTGCATCAGACATGCTCCAAAGCCTCCACCGCTCTTCAATTGAAAGCTCCAGATAAAAAGATACATTTATTTAAGTTCAGATTTAAGGTTAGAAATTATGGGTGTAAATATTTCAGCATGTTTATATTTTGCAATAACATCAAGTACAATGTATAAAGAGAAGAGCTATCGTTTTGTTCAAAAACTCACCAAAGTCTTCAGTGTCCCTTTTAAGCTCTTCCAAAAACACAACCTTCTTCCTCACCACACAGCCATAGCAGTAACCTACAGGAGAGAATATCTGTAAATGTTCTAACATCACAGATTTCAGCCAGGACGCTCATGAATCAGTATCTGACCTTTCTCTAGCCCGTCCATAACCTGCAATCTGATGATGTCACCTTTATGGAAACTGAGCCTCGATCGATCGTCTGTCACAAAGTTACGCTCTGCGATGACGTAGTCGGAGTCCTGTTCAGGAAACCAGTACACAGATATACAAGCATGCAATAACTGATATTAAGTAGTAAAGTATCATTTAGTTGTTCAGTGATCAGAATTGGCCAGTTTTCCTTAATCAACTCTGATTTGTGATTCAAAATCATTTAAATTATCCAACACCTCAGAGCAATTTATAGATTGTTTGATTGGATATGTTACAATCTTTAAATATCTCTGTGATATACACTCTCCGGCCACTTTGTTAGGTACACCTGTCCAACTGCTCATTAAAGCAAATGTCAAATCAGCCAATCACATGGCAGAAAGGTGATTTAAGCGACTTTGAACGTGGTGCGGTTGTTGGTGCCAGACGGGCTGGTCTGAGTATTTCAGAAACTGCTGATCTACTGGGATTTTCATGCATAACCATCTCTAGGGTTTACAGAGGATGGTCCAAAAAAGAGACAATATCCAGTGAGCCACAGTTCTGTGGGCGCAGATGCCTTGTTGATGCCAAAGGTCAGAGGAGAATGGCATGAAAACATGGATCAATCCTGCCTTGTATCAACAGTTCAGGCTGGTGGTGGCGCAGTGGTGTGGGGGATATTTTCCTGCCACACTTTGGGCCCATTAGCACCAATTGAGCATCGTATCAATGCCACAGCCTACCTGACTGTTGTTACTGACCATGTTCATCACTTTATAATGAGTTCACTGAACTTGATTGGCCTCCACAGTCACCAGATCTCAATCCAAGAGAGAACCATCGGATGCGGTGGAAGGGGAAATTTGCATCATGGATGTGCAGCCAACAAATCTGCAGCAACTGCATGATGTTATGATGTCAATATGGACCAGACTCTCTGAGGAATGTTTCCAGTACCTTGTTGAATCTATGCCACCAAAGATTAGGGCAGTTCTGAAGGCAAAAGTGGGTCCAACCCGGTAATAGCAAGGTGTACCTAATAAAGTGGCTGGTGAGTGTATGTACATTGGTATACTGTGACTCGTCTTGCCTTTTTGATCTCATTGATGAAGGTGTCTATGAGATGTTTGACTTGTAAAGCCTTGGCGGAGAACAGGATCAGCTTCTCGTTGGTCAGATTGAACTCCAGCATGTTCTCAGAGGGGATTGTCACAAACAGGATGTCTGCGTATCTGAGACAGAAAGAAAGACAAACAGCATCAGTCACAATATGCACTACTTACCTGGGTCCTAACCTCTCAGTACAATAAAGAACAAATAAACATTAAAGTGTGGGGCATATGCTTGCTGCGCCAGTTTTGAGCAGTCTATTATTTTTTTAATAAATCCCTTCCAGGAATACAAATTTTCTTGTAACACTTCAACAAATGTTTGACCTCAAACTGTCTGATGGAGCTGGAGTAAAGTACATAACTCATTCATCCAGACTTAATTTACCATATAAGAGAAAACTCCTTCAACTACTGTCACTATAAATTCCAGTTGTGGAAAAGTATAAGAAGCAAGCAACTGACTCCTTACAATGCAGAAACACACTGAAGGGTCAGAGGTTAACCCTCTTTCCAACATGAAAAGACACTCCAGTCTGAAATCTGGAGGCTTCATACAGACTTTTGGATATAGATGCTTCAGTTGAAAGAGGAGTGGCAGAGAGGAATATGCCTGGCACCGGCCAAGGACAAGCAAAGTGGGGGAGTCGTGACTCATGGATGGAGGAACTTCCCACTGCTTGTATCTCAGAAAATGGGTGGAGGTGATATACGGTCAGAAAAGACGGCAAGGAACTCCATATAAGGCGTGGAGTGGATTGGGACATCAACGCACCTCTCCTCAGCGACTCAACTCTCATTTTCTCACATTTCTCTGTAATTCTAATGCTAATAATGCATATTTACTCTAACAAAAGCTTAGAATACTAATGTTAGTCAGAGTTCTTTGGAGCAGGTTGCTGGAATTACTCAGTGCTAGGATTTTTGGGATTCGTTTGGTATTTCAGTTTAAGGCTGGGACATGATAAAAAATAAAACAACAAGGTACACCTGGGAGCTGACAGTAGGTCATGATTGACCTAATGCTAAAGCTTTGTTAGCTTTTCCATAAATTATTGACCCCATAAGGCAGTTCTATCTGGTGTTTAGGAGGTCATAGCAACTTGGTAAAAAGTAATCAATTTTTATCCACAAACTGATCTAATCTAATTCCTAATCATTTCTTGAGATGAAGACATCACTGCCAAACTGCCCTCCTGCAATAAAACTCTGTCTCTGTGGTCCATCTGGCAATAGAGATAAGATCAGACTCTGGATGGGTCTTTGTCTTGCTGTGACTATATAACGATGTGAAGCGTGTTGTTCAGGGCTCTTCTCCTGACTGCGCTCAGTGAGACAGGTCTTTGAACGCTTTTGCCTTCGAATAAAGAAACTTAAAGACAAATATTAATCTTTCTCTACTTATTGAAACATATTCTCATTCCTTCATAAAATTTCTATAACAATCCCAAAGATGTCAACCTTGAACTGAGACATCTGAGCTCTGAACGTTTTTCTTCTAACTTGCTGGCCAGGAACAAGATTTGTTTCAAAACCTTCAAAGTATTCACTGGAGAACTTCTAGAAAGCGTTCTGATTTGATTTCCATTTATTATTCTTATCAGTATTTATATTGTACAATAGTTAAATAAAGATGTGAATAATTCAGCTGTAAAATTTGGTTGTTTTGTTACTAATTCTCAGATTTGGTAAGACATCAGCGTGTCAGTGATCACTCCTTGATGTGAAGAGTTTCTTCTGCTGGTAGTGTGAATTCATTCCTTCATTAGAAGTTTATGATTCCAGGTCTGTTGGAACTGGTGCCCTGATTAAACTAAAGAATTTAAATTTTATTAATAATTTAATTAATAATAATTGACTACAATTATTAATAATTACAGAAGCCAAGCATCGACGCAAGTTCTGATTTCCAGGAATTTTGATGTCACCGTGTGAGGTTGCCACAACAGTTTTGGTTTCTAGAGTTCTGATTCCCAACACTAAAGAAAACTGCAAAGATAAATTTAAATGGATAGAAAATAGTTTTAGCTCCAACAAAATAATCCTCAAAGAACTACCAAGCTGAAAACTCGGGATGGATGCAGCATGTTCACCAGGATGTTTTCACTATTTCTTAAATATTTGAATGTACTTTCGCTTTTACACGTTTTTAGATCAGACAGATTTGTGGACTCCACTAGTCAAATGTATTTATGTTGTTAGGAGCAATGACTGAAGCTAAAATAAAAAGCAACCAATGTAAAAAGAAAGACTTGGATACTGCCTGAGAACTAAGAATAAAGATTAGTTTAGAAGATCAGAAACTTGCTGAAAAAAAAGTAGAAATAAATGACAGTTGGTTTAAAATTTTTGCACAGTGTGATAAATATTTAATAGTTTTTACGTCATAGCTTTAAAAAAAACTGCTAATAAGATAAAAAAAAACCCCAAAACAAAAAAACCATCAAATATCTGCACTTACGTGTATGGTCGAAGGACTCTGAAATAGTCTGGAGCTGATGCGCTGCTTTTCACCGTCTTCAGTAATTTGATACCGCTGTGGGACACTGACAACACTTGCACACCTGTTCCTACACTGCCCTGCACTCAGACAGATGCACATATCCACTGAGAACAGCTTAGAAAATTGATACGTCGCATGAAGCAATTTTAGTATTGCACAACGTTCTGCCAAACTCACCGAGGCAGGAAAGAGTCGGGAGAAGTAAATTTCCCAGGTCTCCCTGGCTGCTGTCACAATCGTTTTCTTCACATGCTCCTCCACCGGATCCATATTCTGCTCAACACCATGTTTTGCTGTCATTCACAGAAACAGACACACAAACTCACTAATGTCACAGAGTTGTACTTATTTGAGAAATGCAGTCATGAAAAATAACTACAGGAAAAACAGACAGGACTACCGAAAAGGGCTTTCATTTTCTGCCTTTCATCCCGGGTGATGCGAACGCACGCCTCTGACAGGGTGTCATTCACTATCTGGTGGAACGGAATAAAGCAGAGAAGAGGAAGAATTTTGCTGAATTTCTCTGTGATCTTTCAGTTATCATGAGAGCTTGTAGGACTAAAAAAAATAATAATATGAAATATAAAAAGAAGGAATATGATCTACCTGTTTGAAAATGAGATCTAGCAACAAAGGATTGTTGAAGCTGTCTTTGGGATAAAACACCTGAGAGACAAAATATTTATCAGAAAAACTGTTTTTATTGCACAGTAATTTGCAATGATGCAGAGCAGGATACTTACAGTCATGGTAAAAAATAAAAATAAAAAATACACCCTTACTCAATTCTAGGGTTTTTGCACTGCAAGAAATCTTATGTTTGTAGACTTTTTGAAAATGATTTGTCTAAAGTGTACAAAAAGTACACCATTACTGCTTCAGGAAGATTTAAAAGATAGAGCAGCCAGATCATCAGGTTTGCCACAGCAAGAGTTCCTGCAGGCTGCTGTTCTGTGGCATGTCTATATGTGTTAAAGTGACAATATGGTAAGGCATCAGAAACGACCTTAGGCTACATTCTCACAACAGGTCTTGATGCTCATTCCGATTATTTTGCTGAAATCCCATTTTCTTTGCGCAGTTATTCATATGACTTTAAAGGGACCCACATGTGCATAAGAACGTAGACTTCACAGAGCAGCACACTGTTTGTGGTGATTATAACGGAATTTATCCAGCACCAACAGTATTGTCACAAGATCATATCAACACAAAGGAAGCTAATAAAAATAAAGTCCAACTAACAGCGATGGCTTTTTGTGGCACATTGACTGCAGTTGCTGTAGAGAAGTCTGCCTGGGTGCACAGTTGGACCAGGAGCAGTGGGACTGTGATGTGATGCGCTTCACTGACTCAGACTTGCTTAATAATTTCATAGTTGTAACTTTCAGCCATTGTCTATGTCCAGATTTACAAAGTCTAACTTCTTCTGGTGCAGAATTACTGTTTCTGTTTAATATAGAAGTAGTACAGAGATGATTTTTTCTATGGCGTGAAAGGATTGGAATTGGATTGTTCTGCTGTGAAATAGTCGGATGTGGGTTGCATTTGCCTGCTGTGTGAACGCAGCCCTACAGGAGCAATTGTTACTGCCCACCAGTCTGGAAAGTTAAAGCCAACGACCATTTTCAAAAAAAAAAAAAAAATGAAGTCCATCATTCTCCAGAGGGAAGGACTATTCACAATTGAAAACTATGCATGGAAGTTCCCAGTCACCTCCGGATTGGAGGTCTATGAAATGTTCAGAGGGATTTTAGAAATCTCTCTGATTTCTAAATCAAAGAGAAATTAAACTGGAACATCCTCAGTTAGCAACTTAAAGTTCATGACAGTACAAATCAATAGAAGACTGCACAATTATGGCTTGTTTGAATGAACAGAGAGGAGACAGCCTCTCCAGCTTCTGGACCTTCAGTGAAGCAGCCCAAAGTGTTTTATTCATCAGACCTCAATGTGATAATTTTGCTGTAAAAATGAGTGAAACAAAATTCATACACAACAACGTGAGAAACTGATAAAGTGATCGTTTTTTGTGTGACTTAAAAGTCAATTCTACTAAGGGGTGTTTCTAGAAGCTCAGGTGAATTTTTATCCCGTTTGGTTTCATCTTTATTTATTAAAGAGGGTGTGGAGTCTGTTGTGTGTTTCTGTGCAGTATCAAAAACTTTTTCTTTGTTTTATCAAAACTGTGTACATCTATGTTTGTATTTTTTATCATCCTTCACTGATGTGTGGTTTATTTTTGTTGCTGTATTCGTGTACTAACCTCCTTTCTGAGATACAGCCTCCAGGGCACATTGGTGTAGGTGTAATGCTCCTGGTTGGTGCTCTGGTGAAGCTGTGTCTGGATGGTCTCCGTCTCCACTGGGAGCTCTCGAGATACTGCAACAAACATGTTTAATAAGCAGAATGAAACACTGACACAACATTCTGCTATCAAAATCGCCTTTCTAAACGTGTTCTTTCACGGATAAAAATGAAATAATTAACAGTGGAAAATCCACACCAAACCTGAATTCACTAACACAGACCAGTAAGAACTTTGTAAGGCATATTAAAGACTGTAACTATGAGTGCTATGAGTGGCTTTAAATTTTTTGAGGAAAAAACATGTTATATGAATATGGAATATTCATATAAAATGATGAAAACTTTTCATTACAAAGATATAGTAAAATTCAATTCAATTCAAAAATACTTTATTAATCCCAAAGGTAGTCATCAAGATTCTTCAAAGAGCCATTGAGATGGTGAAGGCTGTCGGCAGGAAAGATCTCCTGCAGCAGCCTGGACCACACTGAACCTGAAGAAGCCTCTGACTGAAGATGTTCCGCTTTCCCAAGACAGGGATACCAAACGAATCCTAGTCAGGATTTTCCATAATTTTCTTGATTTTATGAAGAATCCTTCTTTGCATCATCATCTCCAAAGGTTCCATAGTTGTCCTCAGAACAGAACCAGCCTTCTTTATCAGGCTGTTGAGCCTTTTTAGGTCTCTGACTCTGATGCTGCTGCTCCAACAGATGACAGCAGCAGAGATGATGCTCTCAACAACAGACTGATAAAAGATCTGCAGCATCTTGCTGCAAACCTTGAAGGATCTTGGCTTCCTCAGGAAGTCCAGTCTGCTCTGTCCCTTATTATAGACACTTCACAGTTGATTCTCCAGTCCAGTCTATTGTCAAGTTGAACACCGAGGTATTTATATTCCTCAACCACCTCCACTTCTTCTCCCATTATGGAAATAGAGTTTGATCTAACCCAGTTTCTTCTGAACTCTACAATCAACTCCTTTGTTTTGTTTACATTTAAGATTAGATGATTGTTCCCTCCATCACACAAAGCGGTCCACCAGATCTCTGTTCTCAGCCTCTTGTCCATCTCTGATTCTCCCAACAACTGCAGAGTCATCCGAGTATTTCTGGAGAGGCCAAAGGCATTGCGCTGGAAGTCTGAAATGTGGAGAGTGAAAAGGAATGGTGAGAGTACAGAACCCTGTGGTGCTCCTGTGTTGCTGACTACCTGGTTAGACACACAGTTCATCAGTCTCACAAGCTCTGGTCTGTTTTTGAGGTAGTCATAGATCCAGGTGATTGTTGAGGCTTCCAACTGTGTCTTCTGAAGTTTCTCACAGAGCATATCAGGCTGATTGTGTTAAATGCACTTGACAAATCAAAGAACATGATCTACACAGTGCTGCCTCCTTTGACCAGATGATGGTGGGTTTGTTGAAGCAGGTGTATGATGGCATCATCAACTCCAACTCCATGGTGATAAGCAAACTACAAGGGGTCTTGATATGTCCTTGTCTCCTTATTCAGGTGGGCCAACAAGAGTCTCTCCTGGACCTTCATGATGTGGGATGTCAGGGCAACAGGTCTATAGTCATTGAAAATGACAAAAATAACCCCACTGTGTAAAAAAAGACCCACTTACGCATCAGAGGGTTAAGAGGATCCTCCTCAGCCACAGTTCAAAAGATCAAGCAAATTGCTTAGAGCTAGTTTATAAATGTGACTGATGTGTGTCCAGCATCTGGAAAAAATACTTACTCTCTTTAGAAAACCTATCAAAAACACTTTTAATTTGTCCATCAGTGTTTTCATAGATGAAATATCAGATTTTTGCATGTATACATGAGATAGAAAACAAGACAAATACAAAACTTATATGTATGTACATTTATTGACTAATATTTACAAATTTAGATGTCTACCCATGCATATTTAATTGACAGTAATCTTACCCCATACAAAACTCCTTCTGTTTCCACAGTAACTAAAACAAACAAGAACCTGATACAGGTTGTTTGACATCATCATGTTGATGAGAACCTCTATGTTCTCATCAATGATGTCATAACAGTTCAAAGAGATACAAGAATACAAGAATTCTCAGTTTGCTTCTCAACTTGGTTGGAGGTAGATCGATTCCAGAGAGACGACTTCAAACTGATTTTACAAACCATTTTAACTGTTCACCAAGTCAAGAGGATTTTTGATATTGATGGGACCTTGGATTTCTTGTTACGACGGGAGTTGAAAAGTTGTTAGGATAGAGCATAAGAGGCAAAGACGTTTTAGTAGAGAGCTCTGAGGATGAGAGATCAAAATACTTTGGTTTGGACATTGAACCGTGAAGACCAAAAGGACATGGAAGATTCCTCTAAGGATGAGAAAGTTACCGTCAAAACCACAACTATGGATTTAACAGTAAAGGGATCAGGAGACTTTGTTGTTTTTGAAAGTCTCAATGTTCCTCATGACTAAATGGACCTGGATGTGTTTGCTTGCTCACAGGTTGTTTGAGTTACCTTTACAACCACAGCTAACTCTTTATCAACACAGACATTACAAACAGTGTCTTTACCAGTCTTCCCAAAAACATAGAGGACCTGGATGTGAAACCAAATTGTGACAGCAAGGAAATTGCGACAAATGTTGAAGAAATCTCTGAGGATTCATCAGCAGAAGAAAACTTAGAAGATGGAATTCAAAATGACACAGATGATTTTGACATCTTTTGAATCTTGAGCCAACCATGTAGTTTTGCAATTTTCCAACTTATTCTTCAAATGTTGGATGAATGCCACAACACATAGCATTATGAACTTCAGTATTACCAGAAGGTTTGTGGCTCAGTATCCCAAAGAGATATCTGGACTTTCTATAGAGACTCCATTGTTTGTGAGGTTTTTCTTTACAGCAATGCACCATCCAGGAAGATATTTTTCCCCAGATGAAGTTTTTGCTGTTCAGAATGAAATAACTGAAACACTGAAGATGAAGGATGTGATACATCGGGACAAGCCAGGAGTCTTTATGTTTTATGTGTCAGACTATCTGACGCAATATGTCATTAACACAGACTGTGAGCTGTACACAGCTGACTATTGTGAACAATGTCAGAAGTCTTCATGTGTTATTCATAACCTTGGTCCTGTCAGTCCCCTACCAAAGGAACAATGCGAGGACACTGCAACTACTCTTCTAAATTGTTATATGTGTGGAAAATTGTTGTGACACCTGCAACTCCAACATAAAGACAAGAAGCTTTTTCAATGATGATCTACATCTGATGCGCTCACAGTCAGACAGTCCAGATGATTTAAGATATCCTGCAATTTCTGTCCCAGTCCTTGAAACTCCTGTAGAACCTGGAACTTAGTCACCTGTCCTCAGTCATTTGCTGGTAACAAGCAGTGACTTCTGACACTAACAGCCTTTACACAAATCTGTTGTGTGGACAACTGGTGTTTAAGGCTGACGATGACCGGGTATCACTTTCAAATATAGACCGTGAAGCTGACATTTGCCGTAATGGGTATATCTAAATCTATGAAAAGACCACAGAAGGACAGGACATATTTAGAGTTAGTCTCAAAGTGACCGCTGACCAACTACAAAGATAATGCTTCAGACACTAGGAAGTGGGTGGAACGTGGCCCGCACAGAGTCGGCCACGTTCCCCGCATCCATTGTTGAGGCGACTTCTCAGAGTTGTGGCTACAAGGTTGTCAGTGCCTGTTTTGGGGGCAACCCTAGAATCAGCTCATGGGCACCAGAAGGGAGGGATACTGTCAAGCTGAAGATAGTGACCTATTGGGTCTTTTTGGTCTGTGGGAACCCAGAAGCAGCTGATGGGTACTGGCAGTCCAAGTGGGATGAAGCTCGGGTGGTTGCGGATGTAAAAACTTGGGTGTGGGAGAAGTTCACAGAGGCCATGGAGAATGACTTGGGCAGAGGACTTAGAAGATCTCCTCAGTTCAACCATCATATCTTCCACTGAGGAAGCAGAGCCTGGGGACTTTGGGTCAGGCCCTGCTGAGTTGAACATGGTGAGAGGCACAGAGAAGGAGTGGGCATACTTCTGGCCTCCCATCTTGGTGCCTCTGTGTTGGGGTTCACCCTTAACCTACTTGTGGGGGGACGGGTTCTGACTGTTGTTCGTATTTATGTGACAAACAGCAGTTCAGATCGTCCACCATGTTGAAGTCGTTGGAGGGGTTGATGGAGAAGGAGGGATGTGGGAGGATCTAGAAAGTGAAATATTAGCTCTGAATGATAGAAACATGCAATCTGGAAAGGAGGTTAAATCAACATTACAGTCAACTGGTATAACTTCTGAGCAACAAATTAAATCCAAGATATGTCCTTTGATATGCATAGGAAAATTAATATATTGCTAGAGTCCAAAACTATCCAAGCAGGATATGAAGTCTTTGGAAGAGGAGTATTATCATCATCCACATGAATGTTAAAATCCCCCAGAAGCATCAGGAAGCCTGCAAGCTCAGTAATAAATCCTTATTATACTTTGTAGGCGATACAATCATAATGGGAGTCGGTCTAGAGAGCTGACATACAATATAGGTTGTGATCTACAGCTTATGCTGGAGTAGTTTGCAGCAGAGGGTGAAGCAGCCGGGATGAGGATCAGTGCCTCCAAATCTGAGACCATGGGCCTGAGCTGAAAAAGAGTAGAGTGCCTTCTTCAGATTTGGGGAAAGGTCCTTCCCCAAGTGAAGGAGTTTCAGGGTTTTGTTCACTGATGAGAGACAACTGGAGCCAGAGATCAATAGGCAGACTGTTGCTTCATCTTCAGTGATACGGTTGATGTACCGGTCTGTCATGGTGAAAAGAGAACTGAGTCACAAGGTGAAACTCTCAATCTTTTGGTCAGTCTATGTACCCTCTTTTATGGGCACAAGTTTTGAATAGTGACCAAAACAATGAGATCGCGGATACAAGCGGCTGAAGTGAGTTTGTGTGTTTTTCTGGGCTCTTTCATATAGACAGGGTGATCTGACTCCGGATAAGTGGAAGAAAATGGATGGATGGATAATCCCATATTTTACACATAATTTTGCAATTTGTTTGTCTAATTCCATCCTTTGAAAA